GACATATATTATTAGGCATTTACCCATCTTATGTTTTTGTTTTCATGCTCCTAAGACCCATAAAGCAGGTTTTGAAACTGAGGCTCACCAGCTCACCCCAGAACCTACACTAATAAATGCTTCCAAGAGCCTGGAGCAGCCCCATCTGCTGGACTCCCGAGGCTCCAGTGTTTCCAGCATACCACTTGGCCTTCTTATCAGTCTCTGAGGAGGCATTATAAGTACGCTCAACCAGTCCAAAACCTGTCTCCTCATCAGAGAAAGATGTAGCACTTTATATGCTAAATATGCAAATGCCAATGGTAAGGTTTTAAGAAATTGACTTGAATAGATACTGGATCTGTTATTTAGAAACAGTCTCTCAAGGATGATAATATTTTGGAATTACTACTTTACTGCTCCCAGCATTCTCCTCGTGGCCTTGGAGAAGTTCGTGTACATTCCAGTGGTAATAGAGTCTTGTGCTGGCACTGCACACTCTCCCCACGTGTGACCTTGGCTTCTGCCCCCGAGACACACAGGAGCTCATGGAGCTCCCTCCCCTCCCCCCGACTCTAGGATAGAGCTGTGTCTGGGACCAGTGAGAAGTCCTGGGATCAGGAGAGTCTGGTTAAGTAGCAGTGATCAAATTTTGAGTTCTTCGAATCTTTTGGATCATGCTGACTGGCTATGGTTTAGAGCAAATCACTTTGCATGCTTCTTTGTTTCCAGTTCACCATTCATTAACTTGGTGAAGATCCAAGGTAAAATTAAACATATTGGCTTGAATCTCTTCATTTGTGGAGATGGTCTCCACTGATTTCTGTCATTTCTTGGGGAGGAGGCAGCTGCATGGCTCAGACTGCTCAGAAGACTCTGATCTCTACACAGGGAGGGGTGAACGGCACTATCAAGGCTGATCAGGAAGATGAGGCCACCTTGAGGGTCCATACCTGCTCTTCAGCACTATACCCTGGAACTCAGCCCCCTAGGTTCTCAGAGACCATGGACTGATCCATGGTGGCCTCTAACTCAGCTGAAAAAATACATAGCCCTGGGTCTCATAGGGATATGCAGGGTCTTAGGATCAAGTGACCTTTGGTGTCAAGAAAATTGGAGGGTGAAAATTTTTTATTTATTTTTTATTTTTTTTTTCATTTATTTTTATTAGTTGGAGGCTAATTACTTTACATCATTGCAGTGGTTTTTGTCATACATTGAAATGAATTAGCCATGGATTTACATGTATTCCCCATCCCGGTCCCCCCTCCCACCTCCCTCTCCACCCGATCCCTCTGGGTCTTCCCAGTGCACCAGGCCCGAGCACTTGTCTCATGCACCCAACCTGGGCTGGTGATCTGTTTCACCCTAGATAATATACGTGTTTCGATGCTGTTCTCTTGAAACATACCTGGCCTCACTGAGACTTGAAGGAAGAAGATAAGCCCGAGTCAGTAAAGGCCCCTGAATTGGTAGAAAGTGCAGGGAATGACCTTCATTGAAGCTTCTCTGACCACTCAGCCCTGGGATCATCATTGATGTCCAGTTTCTATGCTCAGTGCGCCCTCTTATGCCCTCTGTGGCCACTTGTCTAGTGAGCCCGACCCCTTGGGATCCTGATGTGGAACTGAGCCTTCTGCCTGGTCCTTAGCTGCATTGGGGTTAGGGCCAACAGCTCCTGAGAGCCAGGAGCCCCAAACCGCCCTTAGGAATCCCCTGGGACCCTGGGTGGTAAGTGCAAGCCACTTCAGAGGGACAGATGGATAGCCAGAGAGGGACACCAAACCATCCCACCCCAGCATTCTCAGGCTGCTTAAGCTTTTACATCTTTCACAGGATATAGTACTTTCACTTTCTAACATGCTGAGCAGTCAGCATTCCCTACCATGTGGTCATCTAGCCAGTGCATTCTTGAGAATACAGTGTATTTATTCATGCCCATGCCATAGCATGGGTATATTCATAAACTTTATGCCTTTGAAAAAGTCATCTTCTCATTCACTTACTCTTGTATGCATTCGTTCAGTGATTCATTTGTTAATTCATTCAACAAGCATTGAATGCTGACTGTAACCTGGCAGCTTTGTGGAGAATGAGGGAAAATACTGAGTCATAAGCGATTGTTACATAACCCCCCAAACTGCAAATTGCCTGTAATATATAATTTACTATGGTTAAGTCAGACTTACTAGATTTTAAGAAATCAAAATAAAGTCATGTCATGGAAGTCAGCGTTGAAGAATTACCTAACTCTTTTCCAAATTTAAAAAGTAATTAGTAATTAGTCTGGCAGTGAAGTTTTTCTAAGTTCTGTGACATTTTGACATTTATGCAATTACCATGATACTTTTATATGGCATCAGTTTACACTGTAATAGGCTCCTGGCAAATAACCATCTCATGACTTCTAATGTAAAGAACATGAACTACTAAGTAACCTTTTGTTGTTAAAATTCTTGATCCACATACTACCCATTACCGGTTAACTTGCGGGATCTGTGGCTTTGGTATATAAGTGCATGGATTAAATAACATTAATGTGTAATTACATGAAAATAAACCATGTAGTTTAGTTAAATTGCAGTACAATTGTTATCACTGGATGTAAAGTGATACCAATTAAATTCCTTTAAAACACCACAAATTAAGATTTAACGACTAGAGAAATTCTAGAATGTAAGTTATAGTACACCATAGGTAGAATATCCCTGGGTATTTTCAGATGTTTAATGGCCATTTATGAAGTTAAAAACATCTTTTTCCTTTATGACTGGAATTAATTGTACTTTATTCAGGCAAATTTCAAACAGACATCAGATAACTTCTTAAAAGACATGTATTAACAAGTTAAGCCTTTGAAATATTGACAAAAAGTCAAATTATGAATACTTGTGCTCTTATAGAGTAAATATTAGATTTTAGTGGGATGGGCATTGGGGTAGAATTTGGGACCAGGAAAAACATGATACTAACGCTAATACAAACTCTTAAATTGTAAAATTTTATCAATCAAAAACAGTTGAGTATTAGCAACTTTGTATCATTTAACTTAACAAAATAATAAAAATGAAACATTACACAAGTATTAGAATTAAAAATACTCCCCTCCTTCTTATATTCATCCCTCAAATGTACTGATTGCTTGCCAGCTAAATGAAAGTTATTTAACTTCAGCCTCTCAATTTTTTCTTTAGGAAAACAGGGTAATAATAGCCACACAAAGAATTATTGTAAGGATTAAATGAAGACAGCGTAGTCAAAGGACTCAATACAGTGCTTTACACAAAGTCAGCATTGATAAATGTGCTTCCTTTCCCCTCCCCCATTTTGCATCTTTTACATTTACTTATATGAATACTTGTACCCGGGGTTGATGGTATAGATCTGCAGATTCAAGGTCTAAAATATTTTAGGCAAGTGAGAATTTAATCAAACTTGCAGTTTTCACACAAAGCACTAATATATTTTTCAGTCAGGAGACAGATATTGTAAACAGGAAAATTTGGAAACTTATGGTTGAACTTACAGTGCTGGTGACTTTTTCTTTTAGCAGAACTTTAGATACTTAAGAAAAATTATCTACAGAGATGAATCAAATCTTTCCCTCACACACGCCGGTCTGTAACCCACACGTGCCTCTATGTGACCAGGTCTCCATGCCAGACGTTCCAAGTAGCTCTTCATTTAATCATGTCTTCTGACAAAACCTAAACAAATATATCAAAACTTGTACAACATTTAGCAAGTGCAACTTGAAGATTTTCTTTCTGTTAGACAAATAGACGCCATCTGGAAAAAATAACCCCAGGCGCTTGGAAGCAGGAGTATGCAGCTTATTGGCTGAACACCCCATGAATACCTTAGACTACTTTCTTTGGCTCCTACCCTCTGCCTGTTCATTTCAAACTTGCACACTCCAGCAGGCATGCTGCTGTCAGACAAGCGAGCCCTTGTTACCCACGCGCTCAGACACTAGGAAGACTCGCTTACTTTGAAAGATAGGCTTGCAAGAGTTATCTGGACCCACTTTGTTTCCTTCACATTATGGCACCTGCTCTCTAAAGACTGCTGACTCTCGCTGTGTTCTGATATGAATTGGTAACAGCATTTTACTAATCAGTTCCGTGTTTACCACATTGTGTTTTTAAGCAGTAGTGTCCTCGTATACTTTTCCCTTTCTTCTTTGCTCCCTCCCTTCCTGTTTTATCTAAAAGCTACTTTCTAAAAGGAAAAAGCCACTCACATGTTACTTATTTTACTAATTTACTTTTATTCCTAAATTAGTATTATAGTGATATTAATGTTATTTTGCCTTTCATAATTAGCCGAACTGCATTTCAATGATTTTGTCATCTTCTAGGGGAAAATGAAATAAATGCAAATAGTCAGAAATCAAGAAAATCATCTTAATTTTTATTTTGATGACATAATCTTCATGATAAAAATAGCTTTTAATGGCACAGTCTTCATATGTCCAACTTTCTCTGCTACCATACTTACACAACATATTTAAGTTATAGCTTTACTAAGTTTTTGTCTTTTGTCTGTTGTGAGCTTGTAGCACTTCAAACCACAAAAGCAGTCACCTCAATACTTCTGGAATTCATTTTATTACATCTCATGATCTGAGCAGTATGGAGCTCTATGAAACATGTTTGATCAAATATTAATTTTATAAATTGCTTTTCCTTCCCCACAATTCCTATGAAAAAGGTATTCAACTAGATTAAAACTCTGGAAAATTTTAATGGGACCTTTGAAATCTGTTTGAGCTCAGCTTCTTGGAAAAATAAAACTGCCTAATGGAAGCACTCTTTATACGAGAAGTGGTTATGCCTTAGAGGCAATTTTCTTCCATGCATAATAGAGAACTTGCAGCGGGATAATCTGAGTATTGGAAATGTCTTTGCCAGATCTTTAATGCTGCTTGTAATAATATCTGAAGGGGTCGTGTGTGTTTGTTCACCATGATGAGAAGAAGGGGATGGTAATTTGCAACAATATCACCGTTGTCTTTTCAGTCCTACCCTGGCCCAAGCCTGGAAAGTGAAGACTTTAACATTCCGCCCATCACTCCTCCTTCCCTCCCTGAACACTCTCTCGTGCAGCTGAATGAGGTCGAACCTGGTTACCACTCTCTGTGTCATCCAATGAACCATAATGGCCTGCTACCGTTTCATCCACAAAATATGGACCTACCTGAAATCACCGTCTCCAATATGCTGGGACAAGACGGAGCACTGCTTCCCAACTCCATTTCTGTGGTAAGAGTCTGCTTCCTGTTTTGTGTTGGGGAGTGGGGGACACCACACTGACAAGGTCTAAATTCATGCGAGGAGCTTTCAATCATCATAACATGGCTTTCTGAAACTAGAATAGTTCTCAGCCATGGAAGATGTTCTCCATAAATCCTGCAAAATCCTAATACAGTTTTCCATCTTATATTTAAGTCAAAGCAAAATCAATTAACCACATGTTTGATCACTTATATTTATAACCCAAAGTACTAAATACTGTTTGACCTGAATGTCCGATCATGTGGTCAAACTGTCTTACTAGCTTTAGATAAAAATTATCATGAAGGTGCCATGTCTCATCCAGTGCAGGATTTCTCACCACAAGCAAGATCCCCCACATCTTCTGGGAACTGCTATGAAGGTTGGTTTCACCCCTGTTTTCTGCTCTCAAATCCCACAAATTTATATAATCAGAAAGCAAGAAAACAATCTTCATCTTTATTTTGAAGGTATAATTTGGGTGATCAAAATTTATCTCCACTAAAATGTTCCTGTATCTTGGACTTTGTTGTTACTCTGAATCTTCTAATGTTCTACACTTCTCAAATTTAGTAAGAATATGTATCACCAGAAAATTAGCAAAACTTAAATTCTTAGCCCCTACCCAAAAGTCCAAGAGTCTGTGTTTTTAACAAGCATCCTGTGCTTGAGAATACAGACATCATAAAATCTTTCCTTCTTTAAATGACTGTTACGTCATTTAAAACCTTAATAATTTCTCTGTCTATATCTCACGGAGTGAAAAATATTGTCATCAGTATATGGCCAAGGGCAGAGCTTTCTACCATGTCATGAAACTCTCTGAGGTTAATAGAAACTTCTAATGAATGACAGGTGGGATGTTGAAGTCTTTACTTTGGTTCCATTGTTCAGTCACTTAACAGACCAACCATCTCTGTTGTCATTTTTGTAAGTCACTGAACAGTGCTGCCATATTCCCAATGAACAAATCGATTAACTTGCTTATCTTATGTTGTTTCTGATAGGAAAGTGTTTGATGTTGTCACTTATCTAAATTATCTGGGGATGTATCTCTAACTTGAGTGACTTCACTAGAAGGTTTTGCTGTTAACCATGAACATAAAGTGGGGAGATGGAGAGTGGAAAGAAATCTATTTGTAGTTTGGGGAATGAAGTCCTGAGCCTAACGCCACAGGTCATGGTAGGGTGTAGGATTCTCCGCAAAACTGGCAGCTAGCTGGTTGGCCTAAAGAAGAGGACTTGTTCCCGGCACCAGCAGTAGCAAAAATCTCTACACTGTTGTCCTAGTTTTTAGATGATATTACGCTGTATAAATTTATCCTAAGAGTATTAGTGTGACTTCATAAAATGGAAGATGGATTTTTTAGAAAATATGCTGTGTAAATCTAAATAATGTTTTACTTCAAAGTAGTGACCTTGAAAAATCATATGCCTATTCCTCTTTGGGGCTAAGGTTTAGACCCAGTTCAGGAGCCACTAAGGCATCCAAGTCACGCTTTCTAGGCTTCCCTATCCACTGAGAAGGAGAGGAAGGATGAATGCGGGGCAGGAGGCACCAGTTTTGTCCTCCTCACCTCTTCTTTGTGTGCTCATGAGGTTGGGCCATGGGAGGACAGTGAGATCCTCAGTTAGAGAGGTTTAGTCTCAAAACCCTTTTCCTTTCATATAATTTGCCTTCTTAGCATTCCGAGGACTCTCCCAATTCACCATTCACTCTTTAAGAGGTGAGTGTGTAACCTCAGTGTACACTCACCTGGAGTTTGCCCAGCTTTGCTGTTCTTGGTCACTCCGTCCTCAGCTGACAGACTCAGGACTGGCCCTAGTCCCAGTCATGAAGCACCACTATCTAGGCCCTTCCTCTACCGTGCTTCCATCTTTCCTTGTCATGAGCGTCTGTCATCCTAATTCTTCCTGCTTCTTCCCACTCAGAAACTGGACTTCAGTGTTTTTCCCCCTTAACATTGTGTTTGCACACTTTACAAGGCAGAACAATCCTCTTCAGCCTAAGCTAAGCAAATAAAGTTCTGATGTGCTATTCCAGTTCTTGGCATGTAAGTCTGTCAGGGTTTTTCATAGACGGTGAGACTTCCCAGTACCTCCAAACCATATTCTGAGGTGGACATCTGCCCTGCCTCCTCACAGAACTGGTCCTAGCATTTTATGCTTTAAATTAAAAGCTGCTCCAACAAATCCAATTTTGGCAAGGCTTTGGACAGGCTTCAGCACTGTCCAATAGAACTCTCTGTGCTGATGGCTTTTTTATTATTCATGCCATCCAATAGCAAGAGTCATGGGCTATTGAACACTTTAAACATGGCTAGCATGACTGAAGGACTAATTTTTATTTTATTTCATTTTAATTACACTTAAGATAGCAACATGTACCTAGTGGCTGTGGTCCTGGACAGCATAAATCTAGTTAATTATGTTGATTTAACATCAAATCTATACTAAACTCATTTTTTAAGCCAGCGTGGTGTTGGAAAAAGTAGATTTGGAGGTGAAATTTGTTTTTAGAATTCTGTTTCAAGGTTTGGATCTCTGACTGTATTCCAACAGCCAGAGTCTGATATACTGCAAAGTTGCAATAGAAATCTAATACAGTTGGAAAGATCGACTTGATTGGAGTCTGCTAATTCCTTTGAGAAACAAGGGGCCTCTCCAGTTCTTATTTCGAGCTGGTATGTGTTTAGAACACCATTCATCAGTGTGTACACTTTGAATGCTTTCCCTGCTCTAAATGTTTGCAAAGGCTCAGATGATCGAGAATATACAGTCACTGTCCTTAGGAGCTCATAAACTATATAGAAAAAGCATAACTAAGTGTGAAACAATTTGAGTCAAATACGAAGCAACTAGAGACAAGAGAAGGGTAAACACAGTTTCACTGACTGTGGCCCCAATAGGAATCCTACCTGGAAGAATTATAGCCATCTGGCTTGGGTATTTTATAAACTTAGTGGGAAAGGTATGATGCCAGTCCAGTCTTGAAAGGTAGTTTTGATTTGGAAACAGAGAGGAAAGAAAAGGCATCTAGGAGAGAGCATTTGAAAAGCAGGTTGGATACTCTTAAGTTGGGAGATTTGACCAAAGGTTTCAAAAACTACTCTAAGGACAGTGGACTTGATATAATGGATTCTAAGAAACCATTGGCTGTTTTCACTGAAGGCAAAAGCATTATGAAGGCAGTGTCATAGGAATATCCTTCTGGCACCTCTCTGGAGGGACTGCAGTAGCAAGAAACTGGAGCTGTGTTGAGTCTGGGAGCCTGTTATCATAACTCAGGCAAGGAGTGTTGAGACACAGGGTGGTGACGGTGAGAACAGAAAGATGAGCTCGTAAGCTGTTTGCACATCATTCCCATATCGGCGGACCTAAAGATGAACAGCCCTTCATATCACCACGTTTTATGTTTTAAAAGCACTAAGTATTATCTTCTCTGAAAGTAACTTTAGGTCTATACGATCCCCTTTTCATGCATCTTTGTATAAACTGACTAAAACTCTTTTCTAGCAACTTTGCTTGTATATGTGATTGATTGGTTTGCCAGTTGTTGATGTATATATAAGATATATGTATGAAATGAAATAGTGTACAATTTAGGCCATCAGTGCTCATATAGTTGAGGAAATAATGGCTACAGAATCAGAATGTAAAAACATCCCACCTAGAAATTACAGGGCTCTTTCTGTAATTTCTCATCTCTTCTTTAAAGGTCTCTTAAAGTTTGGAAACAAATAATTAAAGCTAACACTTGTGAACTCTAAATAATTACTTGCTTTAAATTTTTAAATCTCATGAATATGAGCCACCCTATTTAGATTTATGTGTAGAATCAACTATCTACAACTTTATTTTACAAAAGCCCTTCAGTTTTATTAAAGCTGAGCCTTTTGCTGTTAATACAATGCTCAGATCTTTTTAAAAATATAATTCATTTATTTGTTATTGAAGGATAATTTGCTTTACAGAATTTTGTTCTTTTCTGTCAAACCACAACATGAATCAGACATAGGTATACATATATCCCTACACTTTTGAACTTCCCTCCCATCTCCCTCCCCATCCCACCCCTCTAGGTTTATATAGAGCCCCTGTTTGAGTTTCCTTAGCCATACAGCAAATTTCCATAGGCTACCTAATTTACACATGGCAATGTCAGTTTCCATGTTACTCTTTCCATACATCTCACCCTCTTCTCCCCTCTCCCCCTGTCCACAAGTCTGTTCTCTATGTCTGTTTCTCCATTGCTGCCCTGGAAGTAAATTCTTCAGTACCATTTTTCTAGATCCCTTATATATGCGATAGAATATGATATTTATCTTTCTCTTTCTTTTGACTCACTTCACTCTGTATAATAGGTTATAGGTTCATCCACCTCATTAGAACTGACTCAAAGGCACTTCTTTTTATGGCTGAGTAATATTCCATTGTGTATATGTACCACAAATTCTTTTCATCTATTGAAGGACGTCTAGGTTGCTTCCATGTTCTAGCTATTGTAAATAGTGCTGCAATGAACAATGGGATACATATGACTTTTTCAATTTTGGTTTCCTCAGGGTATATGCCTAGGAGTGGGATTGCTGGGCCATGTGGTAGTTTTATTCCTAGTTATTTAAGGAATTTCTATACCATCTTCCATAGTGGCTGTATCAATTGACATTCCCACCAACAGTTCAAGAGCATTCCCTTTTCTCCACACTCTCTCCAGCATTTATTGTTTGTAGACTTTTTGATGATGGCCATTCTGACTGGTGTGAGGTGATATCTCCTTGTAGTTTTGATTTGCATTTTTCTAATAATGAGTGATGTTGAGCATCTTTTCATGTGTTTGTTAGCCATCTGTATGTCTTCTTTGGAGAAATGTCTGTTTAGGTCTTTTCCCCACTTTTTGATTGGGTTGTTTGCTTTTCTGGTTTTGAGTTGTATGAGCTGCTTGTATATTTTAGAAATTAATCCTTTGTCAGTTGTTTCATTTGCTA